TAGATATATCCCTGACCCACAGTCCCCACTGAAAGGGAGTAAAACGTTCTTACCAGTTGGGGTAAAAGTTTTTATTACAAATGTAAGCACATTGAAATGGTTTAAAACTTAATAGAGGAGATCCTGCTATACTGCTTAAACCTCCCAACTGCTTCCTCTTAGAGCATAAGAAACTATTTTGATTAAATGCTTCCATTTTGAGACATCTACACGGTATTTATAGAAAACTCATGAGTCAATTGGAGTGAGGTATGATGCCAACATGTGCAAAGGAGTGAAAACATTGGTTGTTGTCCTTGTTACCTTAATATAAGAACATTTCACAAAAGTCTCCAGTGTTTGTGTTACTAAAACATGGAAGACTGGGTTCGAACATTTAAAAAAAGTGGTTCAGTGTGGGAAATGTGACGTATAGTATGGGATTAGCTTCAGCACCTTCTGAAAGTAATGCTTCATTTGAACGAATTTTCTCAGTCAAGGATGCTAAGAGAAGAACAGGCTGTATGTGGGTACAGCCAAAGTCATCTTTATTATTAAAACTAAGTTTAGATTATTAAGCATTGAATTTTTATTTGTTAACATATAGAAATTTCAAAAAAGAAAAATCCACTCTACCAACAAGTCAGTATTCAGAAACCTATCTGAATGCCATTTTTTGGTTTTCAAAGTGGCACAATTCTGCGCAACTCATTTTGCTCCCTCAGTAACTGAAGCTTCCTGGATGGAGTCTAAGGACAACTTCTCATACATGGAACCCCACTCCCAAAGCCAAACATGTTAGAAGAAGAACCTTACACCTGTTTGGTCTTCTAGAATGCAGTCTGAATTTTACATCTTGGTTTGCCACATATTTAGTGTATAGAAATGCAGAAGCTGTAGCCCATTTGTGGTTCACCCTACTCTACAAAACCCAGAATGAGTCTGCAAGCTGAGTAAAAAGTGCTTACTCTTTTACTTCCCTCTCCCCATATTTTCTTACTTTCAAATTCCATGACAGCAATAGATGTAAAGCAAGTAGCTTTAAAAATACAATGTATATCTAAGTGAATAACAGTGGCCTACCAAGTGTCTTGGGTACCTTTGGTGCCTGAAACAGCTTAGTGAAAGACAAAARCAGAGYTGAAAGCTAAAAACAACAGGAAATAGAAAGTGCTAATTGGTACTACCAAGTCCTGATGGTTCCATTGCAGTTACATGGCAGAGAAAGAGACTAAACTCAGAAAAAGAAACACTCCGAGCCACGAGTTTGTGGGATGTTCTGAAGTACTTAGCAAAACTAGGTCTAGGACATCCTCTTCATGCCTATCCTCCTTGCCACTGACCCATGCCCAAAATCCTAGCAAGTCACAGGGGCTTGAGGATGTCCTGTGGTCGCTTACTAGATATGTACATTTGAGAGGCCATTGCTTTCTTTGCTTTTTTTTTTTTTAACTATGTGTCTGAACAGATGGCAATGATATTACTTTAGTATTTATCTTTATTGTGGACTTTATTCTTTCAAGCACATTCTTCTCACGCTTTGCTTCAAGATTAGTGACCTAGATTATTTTCCATACTGGCCTGTTATACACACTGGTCAGTACAAACTATCATACTGGTTCAAAGAAATGTATCAAGTCTCCTCCAGGCAATATAAATGACTTAGACTTAGTATTTCCTGTCCAATGATTTGCCCAAAATACAGTCACCTTGCATGACTCATATAGTTAAAGTTGCAGCAGGTAACATTTATTCTAAATGCATGGCTACTGCTCTACTCAAAGTGGGGAAAAATAGGACATTTAAGTGTGTGTGTGGAGGGGTGTTCATTCTCTAATAATAGTTGAACTGTGCCATATTGGGTATTTTTAGGATGATAGCAAATTTATATCCAAGATTTTAAACTACTGCAATTTACATTAAGTATATGTAACACAAATACATTTTGCATGTTCTTTTCCAGTTAAATTTTACATAAAAACAACTATTAACAACTGTAAGCACTATGAAGCTAATAATAACTTTTGGGTAGGTGAATAACTTCATCCTTAAATTCACACCTTTATTATCTCCTTATTTTCACATCAACTTGATTATATAGCAGTGCTCTGAAATTCCTCCCAGGAATTTTTGACCAAACTACCCCACACTGCATAATTTGCGGAGACTGGGAAGAAAAATTAATATTTATCTCTGAAATAAGAAGAGGTGATTTACACCAAATTTACTGGTACTTGCAGTATTCTGCCAAGCATCTTAGTTTGAAACCAGTTAATTGTCCTCTTTTTAGATTTAAGATAACATAATAGGTAGTAGTCAATCTGTTCATTTTGGTTTTAACAGTTAAGAGGATTTTAGTCTTTGTTTTATTTTAATTACCCAATTAACTTCTTAGTTGTACTGCTATCTTGGGATCAAAAACCTGCAAACGATTTTAGTCCTCATGTTAATAGCAGAAGGAGAATGGAACTTGCCAAGTGCAATACTAAAAGAGGATGGCTAGTCATGAGTTTGATTCAAGCTTAAAAGAAAAACTTTTAGAAGGTGAGATAGTGTGACATAATAATGTCCCAGTTTTAAAAAATCTACTAAATGCTGCAACCCCCATGTGGGAACTCAAATCACTGGCAATCTAAGATTAAACTCCCTGATTGGTTGTGTTGTAAGGCACATCCTGAGTTAACCGGGCACTTCATATACAAGTACTTTAGTATTCATAAGCTGCAAATTAAATTGCTCTAAAAATAAGCTGTCATTTGTTTAACACTTTCCAAAAAGCCTGAGAAAGGGGGTGGGGTTATTCCAGAGAGATGAAAGTGGGTGGGGTGAGGGGAGTGTAATAAAAATGTTTTGAATGGTATTTAGGGGGAAATTAGTGTTTTCATAAAATCATGTACAAAAGAAACAGAAAGGCCTACAAAGATACACTGCTCTTGGGGAATTATTTCCCACTCTCAGGTACTATGGAAGGACTAACTTCAAGGTCCCTAGACAAATGGCCAAATCTAAACAATAATGCTTTTACAAAAGTAGTCCTTTCTGGGAAGACAGCTAAATCTTTTCACAGGAGGACATGAGAGGGCTTCAGAAAACCAGGATCCTTAAGGTGTGAAGCGGGAGCCCCTCCCCTCCCAACTGCAGCCCTGGACCTGCCCCACTTTGGGAAGTCCTGTGAAACAGTGTTGCAGATGTGGATTGGTTTTGCTAGAACCAAGCCTCAGCAARTGTCCCTGGGATGCTGGAGGTTGGGAGACACCTCCTAGCTGAAATCGAAAGGTGAATACTGCTTTTCCCCTGGGCAATTCTCAGGGGGGCAATACTATTACAGGGCTGCTAAAGGCTGAGAAGTTAGGCCAAAGAAGGGTATAAGGGTGGGGATGGGAGGATGGTCAGACCGGGGATAGAGCTGGAGCCCAAGGACCAGGGTTCCAGGACAGAGACAGTCTGCTGCACCACGGAGCCCGCCTGGCAGGGAAAGGCAACTCTCAAAATCTCCACTGCCATCTCAGCACCCCAGCTGGGGGCAACCTCCTCCGCCCCGAGTACGTGAGCATCAGTGAGCAGCGGCCCTCTAGGACCCACTAAAAATTCTGTTTCCCTCTTGCTGCATAAGTGGTGCTTAAAGGGTGCTCAGCCTCCACGCCCACTGCCTCCCTCCCCGCCCACCCACACCTCCTCTGCTCCCGCTGCACCCTCAGGCGGCAGCCCCCTCAGAGCGCACCACCCCAACTAGCTGCATTAGCAAAGTTCAGAGGCTGGGAGCGGGCAGCCACTTGCTGCCCAGCAGAGTGGGTTCCGGGTACCAGCGCGGCCCCTGGCTGAGCTCGGGGTGTCAGGGTGGCCACAGAGATCCGTGATCTACTGCACCGCAGTGCCAGCTTCCAAAGCATCCAGCGCCGCCGGGTTGCCACTGCAGGACAGCCGGTCCCGCCCCCTCCTCCCCACACAGCTCCAGACACAAACACAGGGCTGGTCCCTCCCCATCCTGAACTCAGTAGGGGGACTCCCCTAGCCCCTGGCTGCAGGCAGGCGCTGTTCCGGGAAAGGCGCACGCAGCCTCCTCGCCCGTGGCGGCCGCCACCGTGCAGCCCGCCGGCCTGGCCACCCCCGAGTTGCTTGCCCACAACTCGGCCGCCCCCAAACGCTTCAGACAGAGAGGAGGGGAAGTGAACCCCTCGCCGGCTCCCCAAATCACCTGCATTTGCATTTCTTACAAAATGTACTGCAAGTTTCCCTGTTGGAGCCCTTTAGAATCCCAGCGCATGACCACCGGGAGACTTCAGGCAGGGACTCTGCCCCTCTCATCCCCCGGTGGGACTCAGACGCAGGGTTTGACAGGGCTTTCTGAAGAGGGGATTTAAATGACATCTACGAGAGGGGCTGGGCTTGTCTTCTCTGCCCGGGGTTCCCTTCAGGCATAARCCCTGCTCAAGTATTCCCAGTGGCAGGATGTGTCAGAGGCAGACAGAGGGAATGAGTTAATACTCGGGCACCGAGAGCTAGACGGGGGAGGGAGGCGGGGGCTGACGGAGGAGCGGGGCCGCGAGGGAGGGGGCCTCTCTTACTTTGGTAAAGGTGATCGAGGTGGCGAATATTGTGCAAGCTAATCAGAAAGTCTAGTGCTACGTCCCCGAACCTGCAGCAGAAGTACGGGAGAGCTCGCCGCTCTAGCTCCTGCCAACTACCGAAGCTTCAGCTGCCTTGGGCACAACCTTAAACCGTAGCCCTTCAATATTCCACCAAGCATAGGCAACCAAATACATTTAGGAAAAAAGAAGTTTCCTCCGCCCTCCTAGTGATGGATCGTGTCACAGCCAAGAGATGCTGATAATGGTTTTCGGGTTCGCAGAMGCGGATCCAGCTGCTACTTGTTTATTCATGCAGCACCTCTATATGCAACACTGTCCTGGTTCCTTGTATGTTTCCCTGCCTTCCTGCATAGCAGAACTGCAGATCTAGCTCGATGAGCAACAGACAGGTTATTATGAGGAAAAACATAACATGATGCATGTTTTGCTTACCAGTTGGGTTCTTGTTTTTCTTAAGACTCTTGCCACAAAGACACTGCAGCATATGCGTTCCTTTGCTGAAAATGTTCCAAAGAAACCACATTGATTTGGGCGAAAAGCAATCCAGCAGCTTAGACACCCTGAGAAACAAGAGATCCTTGTGGTTGCATAATAATAATTTGAAATCAGTTCTCCTGAAGAGGGGCACCGGTTTTACCATAGGAAAAACGATAATATTCCGGATCTTCTCCCAGTTTTTTCCCCTCACGTGGTATATTTCTTTGAGACTTCTCAGTGATTGTTTTTTCTCGGCCAGGGTGAATGATTTATCCCCCCTTGATCACCACTGGATTATTACCAAAAGGTTGGGAAAAAAATCCTTTTTCAGCATGAAGTCAAACAAAAAGGCAAAGAAATCCCAACTGAGACCAAAACTAATCAGGGAGAGCAGTAATGCACAAAAGATCCCCGAAGAGAAAACCATAGCCTTTTACTTGATCGTTATGAGGATGGGTGGATCTGCAGAAGGCAAAGCAGGATTCATCTTACTGAGAGAAGACTGCCATTGTGTAGCCCCTAGGAGAGAAGGAAAAAAAAAAAAGGAAAGAAAGGAAGGAAGGAAGGAAAAGGAAAAAGAAAAAAAAAAAGGAAAGAAAAGAAAAAAAAAAAACCACCACCACACACACTCACACACCAATACCACCTCGGGACTGAGTCCGGCAGCCGAAGAGCCTCCCTTCTCCCAGTGTCGATTTTTTTTCTTTTTCTTTTTCTTTTTTTTTTAAATAATCAATCGCCAGTGCTCAGTGGGATCGGGTTGAACCTGCAGTTCTCAATCACCGCGAAGAAAAGATGCAAATCTAGGTGCCCCCTCCCCTGGTCAGTCTCGTAGTAGGTCGAGAGCTCCACAAATCCCCTTCCTCCTTCCTCTCACTCTTCCAGTTTCCAACCACCGTGAGCATGAGGAAGATCTCCCCTCCGGATTCCTCGCCCAGCCTCGGATGTGAGTTACAGGCATTAGAGGGAGGAGGAGGAGTTGAAGTTTGCATTGAAAAGACTGGCTTTCCATGACGTAGCCACGTGCTCTCAGACCCGTCACCAGTGAGGTGCTTCAACCAGCCCGGGGAGGGCACTGTCACTGCAGTCTCTGCCTGGGCCCCTCCTGAAGGCTTCCCACCAGCCCGCCCAGGTCCCAGCCCCGGCCCCAGCCCCTACACGACCCTCTCCCTCCTCCGCCAGGCTCCAGCCTGGCCTGCTGCTGGCTCCTGAAGCCAGTCTAACAGCTTTCTGTTAAAAGTGGATTTGGAAAAAGAAAATTAACAATTATAATGAGTAAACCTTAGAAAATGCATAGGGGGTGGGGGTGGGGGTGCAGACAGTTTAATAACATTCCACACAGCCAAAATCATTACTTCCACTTTTCCGTTTTCAAAAGGAGCCTGTAAAGCAACTCAAACGTTAAGGAAAACCCAAGTTCCTTGAACTCTTATTATGTGAATCCTACTTAAGGTGCTGTTTGAAAAATGTAAACTTGTTATAGGACAAATATGTATTTCTAGAAAGAGCCTGTCAAAAGTACAGCCACTAAAATCTAGATACAAACTACTTTTTTGTAGAGAGGGTCATGTATATGCACATGAGAAAGTTCATGCCTTTTCTAAAGAYAACCCAATATATTAAAATATATTTTGTGAAGAAAGCACCCTGATTAAATCACAACCTTTTAAGCTGCTTATTTCTGCACCCTTTAGTTGAACATTAACCTCGCCTTTGTTTACTCCTTATCTAGTCCAACAAAATGGACACGTTTTCTACTTTCATCACTCTCCACTTACCCAGAAAAGCCAAAGGATTTGGAATAGAGCTGTTGGTTAATTTTATTTAGGGGGAAAAAAATACAATAACAAACTTCAGTGTTTCTACTACTTAAAATTAGTAAAAATCAGCAGAGGATTTTGGAGAAGTAAAATTGACCACTCTCAATCCATTTAGGTGAATGAATTGAATTTACACTAGCTTACTTCCACTTTAATAGGAAAATTGACACAATAATTTGAACTCTAATTTTAAAACATCCATTTAAAGGCTCCAGGTTAACTTTTAAAAAATTAAATCTACTGTCTCAAATGCATGCTATAATCAAACTATCTTACAAGCAACAGAAGTAGATTTAAATTTATGTAGATTATATAAATATAATCAACTTATGCAATGATGGAAGAGGCTGGCTTTGAAAATAAACTTCTCAATTATCAGTTGTCAGAAAATAAAAATGTAATAAATAATTTCCCAACTCTCTGAGTGTTCCAATAAATAAAAGATATTTCCAGACATTATAATTTGCATCAAATACCCTGACCTTTTGGGAAAAATCAGTCAATTTTAGATTAAAATAGAAGAATTTAAAACAAGTAAGTTTTATTAAAGCTAAAAGTGGGAAAGGTAACTAGTGATGGCTTCTACATGTCAGAAGAATCATATTGATTAAAGAAATTACTAAGATTAATTGCAGTCTAAAAAGCTTGGGAAGAAAAGGAGGGAATTTAATTTAAATTAAATGAATTTAATGTCAAATGACTTAATAGGAAGAAGCATACTTGGAATTAACATGAAGAGTAGAATTCTTTTTTGAAACAAGAAAAGTGAGATAGCATTGCCTAACAATTAGGAAATGAATTTTTTATATAAATCATGGGCAGATACCATATATTGCTTCAGTAACACTCTGGTATCCTCTAGGGGGTTCCAGAATATCCCAATATATTATCACTGGGCAAATGCAAAAGAAACAGTTGAATAAAAAAAAATTCTCTCCATCACCATTTTCACAAAAAAATAACTCTCCATCAATGTTTTCCAAACTCACTAGGCTCTGTAAGTTTCCTGAGTTCCCCAGGATATTTTACAAGGACAGTAAAATTTGGGGAGATGTTCCCTAATTATTGAATCTTCTTATATGCTAAGTCTGTATAAAGAGTATTTCTCAAGCCAGCTTTTCTTGAACCTACAATTTCCCACTCTTCTCTATACTGTTAGGGTGAATTTATTCCCTATTAAAATTAAGAATGAGGCCGGATGTGGTGGCGCACACCTGTAATCCCAGGAGGCGGAAGCAGGAGGATCMCGAGTTCAAAACCAGCCTCAGCAATTTAGAGAGGCACTTAGCAACTCAGCGAGACCCTGTCTCTAATAAACTACAGAATAGGGCTAGGGATGTGGCTCAGTTCCAGTGCCCCTGAGTTCAATCCCTGGTACCCACTCCCCACCTCTGCCAAAAAAAAAGAATGACTGCCAGAAAGCCGTGGTTTCTTTCACTACTGATTGGTGGAGACTATGATCCAAAAMTATTATGTTTACAAGAGTTCCAGACCATTATTTAAGTTTCATTTTGCAAGATATTAAAAGGTTTGTTTGCCCTTAGCTGTTCTACATTGAAATCAATACTAGATGACAAAATGGAAACTAATGGAAGACAAAGGCAAATTTTGAAACACCTGTAAGTAAAAATAAGGAAAGACTGTAAGAATTTACAGTAAAATATGTAGAGCATTGGTTAAAAAAATTGACTGTTTTCATCAGGCTAAAGTAAAATAAACCCAATACTCACAAATTCATTTAAAAATTAAGCTTCCCTTTAGTATTTCATAGTAAACAAACCTTAAAGTAAGTATAATGAGCAGAATTTCATGATATAATAACATTTTTGGTGTTTTTTTTTTTTTTTTTTTTTTTTTTTGGTACAAGGGATTGCACACAGATGTGCTTTACCACTGAGCCACACCCCCCCGCCATTTCTATTTTGAGACAGGATCTCACTAAGTTGCTGAGACTGGCCTTGAACTTGCAATCCTCCTGCTTCAGCCTTACAAGTAACTGGCATTACCAAGTGTGCCACTGCCCCCAACATAACATGTACATTATATTTTAATATAGAACATGGAACTTTCACAACATTAGTTCAACATAAAACTACTTCACCATGTTTTTTCTATTTGTTGCCAATTTTTGTTCTTCTGTTTCTCTTATTTTAGTAATAAAACCTTAGCACACCACAGTTTTKAAAGGACATGTGGGTATCTAGASGGAGAACATAGTTCCTAGGCTGCATTATAATTAAGTCTGGTCAAATGACTAGATTCTGACCAGTGATATGWGAGCAGGAGTGACATGTTCAACTTCCTCAGCACATTCTTCAAAGGAAGTTGTTTGCCTTCCACTTCTTTCTTTCCTCCTTTCTTTAAATAGCAAAGTAATGGCATGAGCAGCTTTGACAGCAAGGACAGGATCACACACCAAGAACAGCGAAGTGCAGAGTAGAAGAAATCTGGGACCCTGGATAGARCTACCCACCCCATCCTGAACTGCCTACCTGCCTGTACACTATGAGATGAAAAGAAAGAAACTTTTATCTTGTCTGAGCCTATCTTGGTCCCTCTGCACTGCTGTAACAAAATACTATAGATTGTAAGCTAGAGAAATTTATTTCTCACAGTTACAGAGGTGGAGTAGTCCAAGGTCCAGGTGTCAGCAGGCCCAGTGTTGGTGAGGGCCTGTTTCCTCATAGCAGTGCCTTCTTGCTGAGTCCTCACASGATGGAAGGGACAATGAGCTCCCTTGACCCTCTTTGATAAAGGCACTAATCACATTGATGAGGGTCCCACCCTTCTGTTTCAATCGCCTCCTAAAGGGGCTGCCTCTCACTGTTATCACATTGGGCTTTCCGTTTCAATATAAGCATTTGGGGGGGACACAAGAATTCAGACCAAAGCAGAGCCATTGTGTTTTTGTGTRACTTTGTCATAGCAGTTTATCTTCTCTGCTGATTTATGGACCAGACTTTAATTGATAAAAACACACATACTGGGGTTATTTATTTTTAAATGATAAAGAGCATAAGTCCATAACATATGACCCATGGCTTGATCCAGTCTACCATCCTCCTTTCCATCCACTGGGRCATCTACTTATCTCTTTGCTGCCTTTAGCAAGCCCAGGCTTATCCTCACCACCAGGAAAACATCTGCCGCCGCCAGATCTTCCTTCCCCTGCCTCCTCCTCTGGCCTGTTCCCTGCCCATCAGATGTAACCCATGACAGTTTAGAGCTTTGACTGCGGGGATAAAGCTTTGATTACTGGAAGGAGAAGAACAGAGAGAAAAGTGATTGAGAGAGTTGGTCCTGAAGGAACTCAACAAAGAAAAAGACCAATGTGCACACGAAGTCCTCAGACCTAGTCACCCTGCAAACCTCTTTCAAAAAGATGGAGCTTTGTTGTTTGCACACTTATTCCGTCTCTATTGTTGGTGTTAACAATTACTATAATTTTTTAAGGAATGATTCTAAATTCTGCATCCCTGTCTTCCTCCTTAGTACCTGTTCTTCCTCCCCTCATGTTCCCACACTGACCCAGAGCATAGGAAACCTCTGTTCCTCCTCCTGGAGCGAACAATCTAGAAAAGGTACCTTGGGTCTCTCTGACCCTGCCAATTTCTCACCGTAAGAAAGAACAATTCCTGGACTAACACAGCCCAGCTATTTCTCCTGTGCTCTGCCTGTCTCCAAGAAGTTTTCAGA